CCCCAAAACCCCAAAACCCCAAAACCCCTGGCTACGACTGTCAAATTGAAACTCTATTTGCGACAATTCTTAGCACAATCTTAGCAGAATGATTACATAAGAATTTGGATGTTCGCTTCTGGGTAAAACTTCCCTATCATTTCATTGAATTTGCTTTGAGTTCCTATATCTATAATCAGAATGGCTTGTCTTGAGCAAACAACATAGCATGTGGTGGGTGTATGACACTTAATTAATGATGTTGAAATCTTACCTGTGAAAGTTCATCTTTTGACATCAATGTCTTGTGTGATTTTTCTTCTATTCCTCCACCCAGTAGGAGGATCAATTGACTTCAAGCTCGTAGTATCTACAAAATTGCAACGTTCGAAACTCAAACACTTGGCAGAGTCTGAAGAACCAAAGATTCTTTTGAGTTTCTTCATCGAGATTGAGAATCATCGGAAAGACAGCTTTTCTATTTTGTGGGTACTCTTCACAATCAATGGGAGTAACCATCTAAGTTTATCTCCTTCCTGATTTGCTGAAGCAATCAGAGAGTTGGTTTCATGCTTAAGTGGAGAGAAATACTTTTCATAAGCCATCCTATCTTTCTGTTTACCTTTAACAACACATAACTTTAGGATCTTCGGAATATTTAGAGAGCCAAACTTCTTCAAATAAGGTTTCCTGAGCATATCCTCGAAGATTTTATTAGCAATATTAAAATGCAAAGGTTCTTTTCCCCAGCGATAGGATTCCATACCTATCTCCCTGCACCCAACCACGAATGTGATATCGTCAAAGTCCTCTTCGTTTACAAGGATCTTCTTCTCTACTTTATAACGCTTAGAAGTCCCTCTACCAGTCAACTCTTTCCACCAATTGTTCAGACGTTTTGTGATGGTCTTCTCGCTCCTTTCCTTCTTGTAGACTTGTGAATGTTTGAAGCATACCTTGTGAGGGTATCCAATAAAAACTCCTCAGATTTCGCAACGTGTCAGAGGATACATTTTATAAATAAAAACTTAGTATCTCAACCCTAATAAACAATTTGGGGTTTTGGGGTTTTGGGGTTTTGGGGTTTTGGGG